GCAAAGAAGAGAAGAAGGAAGAAAAGAAGAGAAGAAGACAAGAAGAGGAGAAGCGAAGAGAAGGAAAATGAGAAGAAAGGAGAACAAGATGAAAGAACAAAGAACAAAGAACAAACTTACAAAAAAGAAAGAAGAGAAGAAAGAAAGAGGAAGGAGGAAGAGAGCAGAAATAATAAAAGAAGAAGAACGAAAGAAGAAAACCTTCCGTAGACAATAAGATAGAGAAAAAGAGGAAGGGCGAAAAAGGAATTACAAGAAAAGAAAGACAAGAGCTTAAGGAAAAGAAAGGGAAGAAAGAAGACCGACAAGAAAAAATATTGAAAAGAAAAAAGAGGAAGAACAAAGAGCGAGAAGGAAAACAGTAGACAATAGACACTAGCCAATAGACACTAGACACTAGACACTAGACATAAGACACTACACACTAAATACAAGACACTAGACACTAGTCCATAGACACTAGACCATAGACACTAGGCCATAGCAAGTACGACCATAGCCATTAGGCCAAGTAGACCTTAGCCAGTAGACCATAGCCAGTAAACCCTAGACCGTAGACCATAGACCGAGGACCAATGACCCTAGACAAAAGACCATAGACAATACACCGTAGCCCATAGACCGTAGCCCCATTAACCATAGGCCATAGACCAAAGACCATAAATCATAGAACATAGACCATAGACCGTAGACCGTAGACCGTAGACCGTAGACAGTAAACCTTAGACGGTAGACAGTAGACGGTAGACGGTAGACCGTACACCGTAGACCGTTAATCCGCAGACCACAGCCCGCAGCCGTAGCCCAAAGACCATAGACCATAGACCATAGACCATAGACTATAGACCGTAGACCGTAGCCATAAGGCAGAAGACAAAAGACACCAGACATAAGACAGCAGAAACAAGAAAAAAGAAAGAAGAATTAAGAAGTAAAAAGAAGAAGGTCTTCTGTTGATAATAAGAGAGAGAAGAAGAAAAAGAGCGAAAAAAGAAAGACAAGGAAAGAAAGGCCAAACAAGAATGACGAGAAAAAAGACAAGGAAAACCAGCGACAAGAAAAAAGGGGAGAGAAGAACAAACAGCAAGGAGAAAAAAAGAGCGGGAAGAAAAAACAGTAGACAATATACAGTAGATAATAGACAATAGACACTAGACAATAGACACTAGAGTTATAGGACGACATACACTCGATACCAGACACTAGACACTAGACAATAGACGAAAGATAGACACGATATAATAGACAGTAGAGAATATACAATAGACAGTGATAGTAGATACTAAACCATACACACTAGACCATAGACAATGGAACATAGACACTAGACATTAGACACTAAAAACTAGACACTAGACCATACACACTAGACCATAGCCAGTAGACAATAGCCAGTTGACCATAGCCAGTAGACTATAGCTAGTGAACCATAGCCAGTAGACAGTAGTAATAGACAGTAACCAGTAGACAGTAGACCATAGGCAGTAGACCATAGACCATAGACCATAGACCGTAGATCGTAGTCCGTGGACCGTGGACCGCAGACCGTAGACCGTAGACCGTAGACCGTAGACCGTAGACCGTAGACCGTAGACCGTAGACTGTAGACTGTAGACCGTAGACATAAGACAGTAGACAAACTGAAGACGAAAGATAGAAGAAACAAGAAAAAATAAAGAAGGGAGAAGAAATAAGAAAGAAGCAAGCGTTCTGTAGACAATAAGAGAGAGAATAAGACATAGAGCAACAAAAGAAAGAGAAGAAAAGAAATACAAGAAAAGAATGATAAAACAAGAAAGATTAGAATAACGAGCGACAAGAAAAAAGAGGAGAGAACAAAAAAGAGCGAGAAGAACAGAGAGCGAAAACAAAAAATAGCGAGGAGAACAAAGAGCGACAAGAACAGAAAACAACAAGAAAAAAGAGTGGAAAGAAAAGGAGTGAGAAGAAAAAAGGAGACAATAGACACTAGACACTAAACAATAAACACTAGACAATAAACCCTATACAATAAACACTCGACACTAGACAACATACAATAGATATACATTAGATAATCGACAACAGACAATAGACGGTAGACAATATACACTAGACCATGGACGCTGGACCCTATACACTAGACATTAGACCATAGACCATAGACACTAGACCATAGACACTACACCATAGGAAGTAGACCAAAGCCATTGGACCAAGTAGACCACAGCCAGTAGACCATAGCCATTGTTCCAAGTAGGCCATAGTCAGTAGATCATAGCTAGTAGACTATAGACCGCATACCGTAGACCGCAGACCACAGACCGACCACCGCAGACTGCAGACTGACAACCGCAGACCGACAACCGCAGACCGCAGCACACAGACCATAAACCATGGACCATAGACCATAGACCATAGAGCATAGACCATAGACCGAATACCGTAGACCGTAGAATGTAGACCGTAGACCGTAGACATAAGACAGAAGACCGAATACAGAAAAAACAAGAAAAAAGAAAGAAGAAAGAATAAATAAGAAAGAAGGTCTAATGTAGAGAGTAAGGGAGAGAATAAAAGAAAGACCGAAAAAAGAAAGACCATAAAAGAAAGAGAAGAAAAGAAAGGGAAGAAAAACAAGAGGCAAGAAAAGAGAGCGACAAGAACCAAGAGCGACACGAACAAGGAGCGACAAGAAAAAGAGCGACAAGAAGAAAGAGCGAGAAGAACAAAGAGCGATAAGAAAAAACAGTCAACAATAGACAGTAGACACTAGACAATACTCACTAGACAATAGACACTGGACACTAGACAATAGACAATAGACAGATACTAGATTCTACATAATAGACCATAGACACTAGACCATAGACACTTAACCACAGCGAGTAGACAACAGCCAGAAGACCATAGCCAGTTGACCATAGCCAGAAGACCATAGCCAGTAGACCATAGCCATTAGACCAATAGACCCTAGCCAATAGACCATAGCCAGTAGGCCAAAGGCAGTAGACCATAGCCACTAGACAGTAGTTAGTAGACAGTAGACCATTGGTAGTAGACCATAGACCGCAGACCGTAGACCGTACCGAATAGCCCATAGACCATAGACCACAGACCATATACCACTAGACCGTAGACAGAAGACAGAAGACAGAAGATAGAAGACGGAAGAAACAAGAAAATAGCAAGAAGAAAGAAGAAATAAGAAAGAACGTCTTCTGTAGAGGGTAAGAGAGAGAGAGAATAAGAGAAAGAGCGAAAAAAGGAAGTGAAGAACAGAAAGACAAGCAAAAAAGACAATGCAAACGAGCAACGAGAAAAAAGAGCTAGAAAAAAAAGAGCGAGACGAAGAAAGAGGAACAAGAGCAAAGAGCGACAAGAACAACAACGACACGAACAAAGAACGGCAAGAAAAATAGAGACAAGAAAAAAAAACGAGAAGAACAAGGAGGGGAAGGACAAAAACAGTAGACCATGGACAATAAACACTAGACAATAGACAGTAGACATGGGACATTTAACAATAGACAGTATACAGTAGGCCATAGACTATAGACCATAGACGCCACACAATAGACGCTATATACTAGACCTTAGACGCTAGACATTAGACATTACACACTAGACACTAAACGCTAGAAACTAGTCAGTGGACCATAGACACTAGACCAGAGCATGTAGACCATAGCCAGCAGACCATAGCCAGTAGACATAGGCAGTAGACCATAACCATCATAACAAGTAGGCCTTAGTCAGTAGACCATAGCCAGTAGACCATAGCCAGTAGACAGTAGCCATTAGTCTTAAGCCAGTAGCCAGTAGCCAGTAGGAAGTAGCCAGTAGACAGTAGACAGTAGACCAGAGACCGTAGCCATAGCCCATAGCCCAAAGAACATAGTCCATAGACCATAGCCCGTAGACCATAGCCCATATCCCATATCCCATATCACATATCACATAACCCATAGCTCATAGCTCATAGCCCATAGCCCATAGCCCATAGCACATAGCACATGACCCATAGACCATAGACCATAGACCATAAACCAAAGGGCATAGATCTTGGACCATAGACCATCCACCGTAGACCGCAGACTGTAGACTGTAGACCGTAGACCGTAGAACGTAGACCATAGGATGTAGACCGTAGGCCGCAGACTGTAGACCTTAGACTGTACACAGAAGACAGAAAACAGAAGACAGAAGACAAAGGACAGAATACGGGAGACAGAAGAAAGAAGAAAGAAAGAAGAAAGAAGAGAGAAGAAAGAAGGAATAAGAAAGAAGAGAGAAGAAGAAGAAGAAGAAGAAAGAAAAAAAAGAGAGAAGAAAGAAGATAGAAGAAATAAGAAAAGATGAAAGAAGAAAGAAGAAATAATGCCTTCTGTATATAACAAGAGAGAGAATAAGAGAAAAAGCGAAAAAAGAAAGACAAGAAAAGGCGAATAGAAAAACGAGCGAGAAGAAAAACAGTAGACAATAGACAATATGCACTAGTCACGAGACAATATATACTAGACACTAGATAATATAGAATAAAAAATAGATAGACACTACAGAAAGAGCAAATATGATGGGGAGTAGTATGATGATTGAGGTGGGGCTTAGCCGAGCCGAAAGATCCAGAATGAATCATGATCCAGCGTGATACCAAGCTGAAAGAACGAGCAAGAACCAAGATCAAGCTTGAATTGGAAATATAGATCCAGCAAGAGTCAGCAAGAATCCCGAAGCCCGAAGCCCGAAACCCGAAGCCCGGAGCCCGAAACCATAAGCCATAAGCCATAAGCCATAAGCCATCAGCCATAAGCCATAGCCCATAAGCCATAAGCCATAAGCCATAAGCCATCAGCAAGAGAGAGAGAGGGAGAGAGAGAGAGAGAGAGAGAGAGAGAGAGAGAGAGAGAGAGAGAGAGGGAGAGAGAGATAGAGAGAGAGAAAGCGGACGATCAGCCTTCTTCTCCGCCGCAACCGCAGCCGCAGCAGAGGCAGGTGTCCAGTCTGCAGCCTCGGTGGACCCGAGCAAGCACGGTGGTATTGGGACGACATCATCCGCCATCTCCGATTGAAAGTTAACGCGAGACGATGTCGACATCCCTTGCACTGACGGAGAAAGGACGGCGATGGAGGGGGGGGGGGGGGATAGGAGCTTTTCACTGCACTGGCCGGTGAGGATGGGGACAATTTTATACAGGTCATCGTCAACCTCGTTTGGTGAAAAAACAAACACCCACATAGCGAGACCTAAAGCCGATGAAGTAAAGCGAATTTCTGGAGGAGGAACACTGTTGTCACAAATACATAATGAGGGAGGCAATGACAGTTCGGGTGGTTTTCATGCTATAACTTTATAACATAACCAACGGAATTACCTTTTGGCTGCTGCTTTTTTCATCTTGGTCAAAATGTGATTTGACAATCTGCAGGAACGCCGCAGTTCGCTAGGGAAGCCAACCTATCATTTTCCTAGAGCCTGGTGCAGCTGATTGACACAACACCATACGTGCGCCTCGTCTCAATATAAAGATGGCCAACATGAATTAATCGCGGTGCTTAGCAACTGACCAGTCTTACCGTGCGTCCAACGTAGCACACCCCCAGCCCTCAGCTGAATGTAAGTAAAAACAAAACGAGAAGCAAGGAGATTAACATAATGCCCGACGCCATCGCCGCGTTCGCAAGCTGCTGTCAGCGCTGACAAATGACATCCCAGACGCCTAAGGCTCAGACAAACATAGATTCATTATGGGCATGATAAAGCAGTGTCAATGTAGGACTAACTTTGGTCTGCAGGTGGCCTGAGCATGTGTAAAAAAATCCTTTCTGAGCTTCGATGGTAACCTGTGATACTGGATGGTTTTATGGTGATATATATATATATATATATATATATATATATATATTGATATGTATATGTGTGTGTGTGTGTGTGTGTGTATGTGTGTGTGTGTGTGTGGGTGGGTGTCACTTTAAGCAACCAAGCTACTTGCTTGCTTCTTGGTAATTCACGTTCTAAGTACCTATGGCTGATCTAGAGTTGACTCACATTCTTTAGCTCCTTGCCTTGCGCATGCCAGGCCCCGGTTCCAATCAATTTTGACACAACCACATACCCCAGTAACATCCACCCCGCCTCCTGGTTCTCGCGGGTTTTCAGAAAGAACAGTTACGACTTACGACGAGTTTCGACGAGGGGGCACTTGGCCATTGACTGGTCTGAACGGGAGGCGGTTGGGTGCTTTCGCAACTGGGCATCTTCATAGCTGGTAATTGTTCTACAGTGCTTAGCGTTTCTTCGGGTATCGTGGCGTATATACGTATATATAGACCATAGACACTAGCCATAGACACTAGACGTTTTGTTGAAAGAAGTAGTGGGAACCAGGAACCAATATGACGAACCAGGCACGTGCCTGCATGCTTCGGGTATGGTGACGAGCCATCTCGATCTTCAGAGTTGTCAGCATGTTCATGTCCTGCCATCAACACGGTGTTTTGCAGCACGTCTCCGCTTGCACAAATTCTTGGCATTGGCATGCACGTGTACATCAGTAAAGAATGTGACGAAATGGATGTCGTCATTTTGTGTGATTGGTCGAAGACGTTTGAGACCGCATCGATGCCACTCATATGCATTGAAAAACACCCATGATCGGCCCGAAACATTACCCCTGGCACATATCATGACAGTTACCAACTTTGGTGCACATTTTTAAAAAAAACATGGTGAAACCTCAGGACCAGTTATGTGTAATAGCAGTACTAAGTGGTGTCACCGCAACACAATCAAGGTACAGTAACCCGACGAATATTGCATAGTTTTGTAGGGAAGTTCTATTCAGGGCCCCTCAAATTTTCAACCCCACTTTGACGTCACGGCGGGTTGCCCGAATAAGCCACAACAATGTACGCCCATAGGAAAATGTATTTTACAGAGGCAGCTTTTGTGCAGATTGAATGGGTACAAACGCCTGAAACGCTTACAGCGTTAGAAAAAAAACGTGCGGTCTATCGCACGCCAGATGTGCTTTTAACGCATGGTGATTTGGCTTTGAATTGCAAGTCATTTCGCACGATTGTTGCAACGCTAACCCAGGTGGCGTTACTTGAACCAACGCCTAGTGTATAGATGGTGGTAGTGTTGTTCTTGGGGCTGATACTCATCTAGTTTTCCTGGGTACTTACGTCTTTCTTCGCGGGGCGTTTGCGTGTTGGAATGCAAACTGTGCTTCCTGGGTTCGTAATATATCTTAACATCTTGCATGTAAATGTTTTTGCTTTATTTTGTTCGGTCACCAAGGCATATTCTCGACTGATTTGCCCGCCATTCTAGTGTAACACACGCGCGCATATGTTCTAATTGGGCTGCAGAGGCGTCATTTGAATTTGGCGCCAAATGAATTTGACGTGGACAGCGCTGATCGCCCCGTGGAGCGCCTCGTAAGCACTCGCACTGGTAGCTCTGCAGTGAGCACTGGCGACCCCTAAAATTCCCTTTAACACTTACGTCTATTCGTATAAAGGAATGTCAACATGCACCGTTCCTTGTTTCTTACTCAGGCTTACTCAGGCTACCACTTAATAGAAATGTCATGTTTGAAACTAAAGGTCCATGAGAAAGTTATGAAACCATTGATGCATTCTGATTTTTCGTTGCTGATGTAGTTCGTGATACTCAGGATTATCCGCTGTTCTTGCCTTATTCTCGCTTCATCTTTCATTCTCGCGACACCCATTTTATACGGAGCAAGTTACATGCGCTACCTTTGAGTGGGCTCAAGTGCTGCCTAGTGCGCCATGTTCGAGCGCTGGGCGCATGTCCTCCATACTGGTCCCTGTGCGGCCAGGAATTCTCAGCGGAGGGCCACCAGGTGCGCGTAGTTTTGTCTTAGCATCGTCAACCCCCCCCCCCCCCCCTTCATCCCATAGCTTGGAAATGGTCATTATTGGCCAAAAGGGTTCTAATATAAACCAAAAAACTAACTTATTTGTCGCGAATGGAATCGGGCTGAAGTGCATGTAGGGTTATATGCAAGGACGACGAGCGTGATAAAACTTTAAATGCTTTAGAATCATAAGAGGAGATGTGGAACATGCAGTTACGAATCCTTTACATGTCACGTTTTCCTACATTCTTAAAATGTTAAGTTTTCAGAATGAGTTCAATGGATGTTCAACTGGCAAGGTAATAGCCTAAAGACTGTCGAACGGATGGAAAACTGACTCAATGCAGCTGGCTACAATTTTGCTGCGGTGCATTGCGCGGTTAAACATACACTTAGTGTAATGGAAAGTTTTGTGAACGAGTATTATTTTCCAGCAAAAGCTGCTGTCATAAAAGTTGCGGTATTTAGAGTTGCTCGTGAACGAGTGCGTACAAAATAATGCTATAATTGTGCAGAATGAAACAGTCAGTACAGAAATAAGGGTGAACCAGGAAAGTTTTAAGAAAATGAAGCATTGCTTTCTCGGCTGTTTGTCAGATTATTGGAGAATATGTAACGCCTCTGTTTTTATGCCACTGACCGCCCTGTTTTCTTGGAGTTGGGCATCGCCCCC